CGAGCATAAATGAATCGGTTACATAGTATTATTATGGCGCATGCCATTTCTAGCGCTCGAGACTTGAGATCAAACGCTCGCAGCCGGTTACTTGCGGGCCGCGTCCCAGCGAGTAGCGGGACGCGTGTTTGATATGCTGCAAAAAAGGAGGTGCTGGTGGCCGAGTGGGCTAACGTCGTCTCAAGCTCGGAGCGTGGTGCGAAAGCTTGCGCTGCAAAACCTCCTGGGTTCGATCCCCGCTCGTTTCGATCTGGATGAGTTTTGTACCGGCACGCGTTCGTGTAATCACTACCGCGTGGTGCACGTTCAAAACCCCTGCAGGATATCGGTCGTACTGCACTGGCTACATATCTCATCTACAATTAGAATGCAATTAAATGCAAAGGTGCAAGCGAGCTGGACAAGAATGATGAAAATAATCCCTGGAGAGGGGGAACAAGAGGGACAAAGGACAAACACAAATCTCCAAACACAGCTAGGTGACTGGTGCGCGACCGAAAAAATCCGCCTGGTCCGGGTATCGAACCCGGGACCTCTCCATTACAGGTGGAGCGCTCCACCAATTGAGCTAACCAGGGGTTAGACATCAGTAGAGCAAACGGGTTTTATCAGCTGCCACCAGTCTAACACCAACAAGGGTGAAGCTTGCAATTTAAGGTTATAATTAGAATGCAATTAAATGCAAAGGTGCAAGCGAGCTGGACAAGAATGATGAAAATAATCCCTGGAGAGGGGGAACAAGAGGGACAAAGGACAAACACAAATCTCCAAACACAGCTAGGTGACTGGTGCGCGACCGAAAAAATCCGCCTGGTCCGGGTATCGAACCCGGGACCTCTCCATTACAGGTGGAGCGCTCCACCAATTGAGCTAACCAGGGGTTAGACATCAGTAGAGCAAACGGGTTTTATCAGCTGCCACTAGTCTAACACCAACAAGGGTGAAGCTTGCAATTTAAGGTTATAATTAGAATGCAATTAAATGCAAAGGTGCAAGCGAGCTGGACAAGAATGATGAAAATAATCCCTGGAGAGGGGGAACAAGAGGGACAAAGGACAAACACAAATCTCCAAACACAGCTAGGTGACTGGTGCGCGACCGAAAAAATCCGCCTGGTCCGGGTATCGAACCCGGGACCTCTCCATTACAGGTGGAGCGCTCCACCAATTGAGCTAACCAGGGGTTAGACATCAGTAGAGCAAACGGGTTTTATCAGCTGCCACTAGTCTAACACCAACAAGGGTGAAGCTTGCAATTTAAGGTTATAATTAGAATGCAATTAAATGCAAAGGTGCAAGCGAGCTGGACAAGAATGATGAAAATAATCCCTGGAGAGGGGGAACAAGAGGGACAAAGGACAAACACAAATCTCCAAACACAGCTAGGTGACTGGTGCGCGACCGAAAAAATCCGCCTGGTCCGGGTATCGAACCCGGGACCTCTCCATTACAGGTGGAGAGGTCCCGGGTGTTTGTCCTTTGTCCCTCTTGTTCCCCCTCTCCAGGGATTATTTTCATCACTCATCTACAGCTGAGATACAGGTTGAGGCGTACCAACTTGGAGGCTGTCTAAACATACAAGTAACATTATTTAGCTGCCGTTGTCTCGACTGCACTCGGCGAAAACGTTCGAATACGAAAGCCAGACGCCGGCGTTCCGCGTTTGAACGCGCTCTGAGCATGCGCGGAATACCAGACGCCTGTGCTTGCGTCCATGTAGACATGTTTTCGCCTGGATGACGAGCGCTGAAAAGGCCACGTTTTAATCCCCTCTCGCTTCTCGCCCTTGTTTACGGTGTCCCTGGTGCGCCTCCTTAAACGATATCCCATATGATTCGTTCGCCAGGACGCCTTTGCAGAAAACACCGTCACGTGCAGCAGACCGTTAAAGTAGCGTCCCGTCAAGCGTGCCGCCGACAACACCGCGAGATAACGGAGCCCCGTACCTCGTCTTTATTAACGGAACAAACTAACCGCCGGCCTGGCGAAAGCGCCACGCAGCAGTCGACGCCTCCAAAACACTGCCAAATAGCCGGGAGTAAAAAGGCAAGGAAAAAAAAAAACAAAACGAAAAAAAAAAAAAAAAAACGCGCAGAATCTTATGCGAGCGCTTGCAATGAAGACGGGGATTATATTTGTAGGGTGCCCAGATTTCAGAGTGTTTCCAACTGCTCTGTCAGGGTCACGTGGTTTTATTAGGCGTGTAGCTTTTTGGCAGCACCCCTGGCGAGACAAATCTAATACTTTTCGGTCGCGTTTTGGTTGTGCGTCATTGCGCGTTCTCACGTTGCTGAAGCTAAACTGGAAGACACATACTGACAGATGATTGTAGACGACCGTGGCTGGTGAATTATTAAACGCTGAAGTTCTGCTGTGTGCTGGATGTGAGCATCACATAATCGCGTCTTACGGGCGCACTCTCTCTTTTTTTTTTTCGTGGGGTATATCATACATTTTTATTGCTTCTTAGAATACAGTTCAAATATAAATCCTACTTACGCCAATACTGTCCTGTGCTTGGGACGCGACAGATTCCTCTGCATTTTTTATTAGAGAATTACGAAACCTGCACTAGAATCAGTTTATTTCGTCTATATGTACAGACGACAGGGGCATGGGCAAAAAGCCAACACATGTTGGCTTGACTGGGCCCCACCCCCGTTTTCTTGGCAGAGGCGGATAAGCAAATTGTAGGAAAATGAAAACAAAATCGTTAATTATATAGCAGGAAGACGAGTAAAAAAAAAACATAACAAAAAAACGTGTAGACACTTGTAACTGGGAAGTAGAACACTGATATCATGAGGCACAATACAAAAATAAGTGAGCTACAGAAACATATTTTTGATGGCACGAGGTGTTAGTGTTTCTATGGTGAAGTTGTTGCTCCTTAGATTGTTCAATAATGATGGGAGGTGGTGTCTCAACATCTGCGTTCCATAGTTTGTTCTGCTGTATGGTACCTTCCGGACATCCTCACTACGAGTAGAATAAAAATTTATACTTCGTGCTAGACCAGCGATCTCTTGAAATAAAGGATCGTTCAGTTTAATGCCCGCTGTGTATCTTAAAATTATTGTGTAGTCATACAGGTTGGTAACTGGAATGATATGCAGAGTCTTAAAAAGGGGTTGTGTATGAGAATCATATGGGGCATTGACGATACTCCGTATGGCCTTTTTCTGAGAGACATGAAGATTATTTATATTGGTTAATGTTGTGGTTCCCCAAACCAGATGACAATAATTTAGATGTGAAGAAAATAGAGAGTTGTATAAAAGGAGTTTAATTTTTACTGGGAGTTCGAAGCGAAACCTGTTAAAAATGCCAACGGCTTTTGAAAGCTTGCGAATGAGACCTTCAATGTGAATATCCCATGACAGATTTTCCTGAAAAATTACGCCTAGGGTTTTAGTACTAGGTACTAGTTCAATGATGGAGGGCCCCAGAACAAGGTTGTAGTCGAAAACCACAGACAGAGCGCGCCATCGCAAAATGAACGGAGTCTCTAGCTCCAGAAAAATAGACTTACAGTCTGTTCCTCTAACTCCAGTAATGTATAACTCATGTTGGATTTCGGCACTGCTTAAGTCACATATTACGTCGGTAACTACAATTCGACTTACCGAAGCAAACACATTTTCTATCGGTGCTTTTTTTTACTCTGTTCATATACCAACGTTTTTGAGAGCATTTTTTTTTATTTATTACGGGGGATTTCATCTCGAGTAACTCTTTTGATAATCCATTAACGAATTTTGGGCACATAATAATTTTTTTGCGGCCTCTCCATATTTGGTATATACGAATGGTTCAATAAATTTTGAGCTGCGACGACGAGGCTAAAGCTCTGATCGTCCGCAAGCGTCTTCGCTTCCCCCCCTCGCCGCGAGACGACGCAACGCACTCAGGGAAGCCATGTGCCCAGGAGGAGTCCGCCATTGCACATCGAACGGCCTTCGTGGTTTGAGTTGCCTCCTCTCTCAAATCTAGGCTCTCAGATTATTTGAACAGCAAGAGCCGTCATCTGGCGTCACGCGCCGGCGTTTCTCAGAACGTCCTCGCTTTTCGCCGCAGAAATGGCCGCGAGAGCTCTCCGCGAGGAGAGGGAAACTGGTGAGGTAATTACTCGCCGTTGCTGTGCCGTTTCCCCCGCTGAAAAATAAATAAATGAAGTAAAGAAGAAAGTGTCCTTAAGTGTTGCTTGTTGTTATAGTTGTTTGATCGGGGGAAATAAAAAAAAAAAAAAGAAAGAAAGACAAAGGCCACCGTGTGACCTTATTTGATGGCTATCTCTCCTCAGATTGGTTGGTTAGATGCTTTGCGATCGTCGGGTGAGTCTCCGAATCGTGTGCTTGGTTTCGTACGGAGATGAAAACGAAAGGAAGGGGGGAAAGAAGGTAGAGAGGGAAGCCAAGTGTTGCAAGGTTCGCAATTAGAATTTACAAGTAGCGGGAAGGCCGGAGAACCTGAGAGGAGCAGACGAACAGCGCGAGCGAGCGCGTCTCATTTTGGGCTGTGGCCGCATCGGCAGGAAATCGGAAAACCGTGAGTCACGGTTCGTTACCGTCATGGGTACCCGCGGAGGAGATCCTTCCCTCTGAGTCGGCGAGGGGGACGGCCAAGAAACAATAACAAGAACGATACCAGGAGAGCGAGAGTGGGAGAAAAAAAAGGAGAAAGCGGTGCCGGTCACGCTGACCAGTTTCGTTTCTCGGCTAGCAGACGATACGGGACGCTGTGTGCGGTTGCCCGTGCTCTTCCGGAAGGCGGCAAAGGAGGGACTCTGGTGGTGTTCCGGTAGGTGCTGAAGAGAGCTGAAGGAGGCACGCGCTGAACAGCTGGCAACCTGCTGAGCGTGAGCTACGTTCTTGCTTGTGAAAGTTGCTGAGTCCGGGACAGAGAAAGAGAGAGAAAGGGAGGTGACGCTGATGTTGGGAAGTCAGCTGATGAAGACCAGGCGGCGTCGCTGAAGTTGCTGAGTTCCGCGTGCTTGGGATTCTCAAAACTTGTGGAGTGTCATTTGCACTTTTTTCTTTCTTTTTGCGGATAGTTGTGGCTGTTTCGTGAACCATGGCCGGATTTAAGACTGGTGTTTGTGCGCTACTGCTGGCAACGTCGGTGTCGGTGGTTCGGGCTCAGGGGACGAGGGAGTTCGAGAAGCAGGTGGATTCTACGGAAAGTGAGTTTTTCTTGCACTATCTGTTTTTTTTTTTTTTTTTCGCTTGGGTGGCAGCGCTCAGCTATTGAAGGTGTGCTGACACGAAACCCCGAGCGTGGATTACCAGCACTTTTCTTTTTGAATTTTCACTCATTATTTTATTCCATTTCGATATCTCTAATTTTTTTTTGTCCAGAATGCAAATTCTTAGCAGAAGCGTTGATAATTTAACCACTTACGTAAGGGCATCCACATATTCTAAACATCAGGCGGACGTTTTGCCTAGATACAAACGAATAAGTTGAATTAAAATCCATTAGCTTCTCTCGAGGTTTAAATCAATCAATCGGTGAACAAGCTTTGTGATCTGCGTATGAACATTATCCGACATTTGACACGTAACGTTTATCACACGAATTTATTGCTGTGCTTATGGGCATATTTTTTATTTATTTAGTGCCGCATTTTGTAAAAGGTAAAATACAGTATAAAATCAGAACCAACAGCTACATACACTTGTTACCAAAGCAAGTCAATGTTTTTACTTCGCTGGTAAAACAACATCGGTATTTTTGAGAGCTGCATGACCGCATAATATTGTCAAAAGAAAAACAAAATAAAGATAGGCTAAGTGTATAGACGAACTGAACATTTCGAACATCACCTCACCATATCGGAACTTGCACGAAGGTGCAACGAAGCTATCATGTGCTACTTTCAACTTAATGCTGCATTGTTTGTAACAACAAGAACATCGTGTGGACAACAAACCTTTGACGGCATCATCTGTATCATGAACGGATTAGACAATGTCGTTCCATATCTCTTTCGTTTATTTATTTATTTTTTTTTCATCGTAACGGCGATTGTACGGTATTCCCACACAAAACGCCAGTGTTTCGAGGTGAAGCGAGTCACTCTAGGAAACATTGGCTCTCGAATAAAGCAGGAAGGAAGAACCGCATGGCAGTTCCGCGTGTTCCCGTTCGGGGCGCCCGCGCGTGGCACGGTATACGAAATCTGACCCAAAAGATTCCATCATTTTCCCTCTTGTCTCGCTATTTTTGCGTGCTTAAAGTCAATTTGTTAGTGTGGTACGACTCGTGTAACCCTCCTTGTGGTCGCTCATGAAAGCCTTTCGTAAAGGAAGGTGCCACGGCATCTACTCTGCCTAAAGCCCGGGTCGCACTGCCCACACATCATACGAATTACAGTGTGCAAACAGGAGTTACCGCAACACCCGTGCTTCGAGCGCCGCGTGTCCAAGTTATTTCCTTGCACTCATTTCCATGCGACATCCGAAGCACGAATCTCGCAATTACTTGCGTTCGAATCGGCTTGCAGACTGTCTTGCAGGCACGTAGCCAGGAGTTTGTTTCCGGGGGGGGGGGGGGGGGGGGGGGGGGAGATTTCGGTGAAATCCCGGGTCCCTAGCACCCCCCCCCCTCCCCCCCCCCCCCCCCCCCCCCCCCACCCACCCATAGCTACGTGCCTGCTGTCTTGTGTACGATGTATAAGCAGAGTGACAACGGCCATAGCCTCCTTTATGCTGACAAAACCCGGCAGATCGCCACGAGAAGCGGCCGCGCCGAAATTGAAAAGGTAGAGCGGCAGACAACGGATGAGAGGAGAGCCAGGTGACGGGCGCCCCGCTGCGGCGAGACGCCGAAACAGACTTCTCCCGAGTGATGGGATGTCCGCTCGTGCCGTTCCTCGCGCTGCCGCTTTTTTTTTCTCGTCGGGTTTGAAAACCGTGTTTCGGGTCCTCGCCGCTGCAAAAGCTGTGCGCTGACGTCCAGGTTTCCCGAGAAATGCTCTGTGCTACCAGATCCTCGCGTTCCAAATCTGCTCCTGGGCACCCTATGGCTCTGTGGTCGAACTGCCAGGCTTTGTAAGTATAAAGGAGGCGGACACACAGCTCTTACATCATACAGAGAACAGTCAGCAGGCTCTATTTTAGTCGTGTTCCTTCTCCGTATGACGTTACTAACTTTACTGAACTGTCCGCGAGGGTTATTTTATCTTCTGCGGAACCGTGCATCTTATCCTGTGACATTTTGCTCTTGGTGCGGGGACGTTTCTTTCACTGTGTTCGGGTCACATCGTATGTTTCTCATGAGGTTGGAGAATTTCACGTCCGGGTGTCCTATTTTCTTCAACATAAGCTTGCTTGAAGTCTGCTTTAACGACCGACACGAAACATCAATTCCGAAAAACACCGAATTCGTAGGAAAAAAAAAAAACTTAAAAAAAGGAAAATAAATTTTGAAAGCGCTGTGGCGTCGTCCGCTTCGCGCCAATGTTTCAATGTTTTGCTTATTTACTCACACGCTTACCAACAGCTCGGAAACGTTTAAAAAAATAATAATACACCACTAAAAAAAAACCAGTTGCAAAAATACACACGGTGAAATTTATACACCTACCAAAATTCTTATACATACCTAAATTCATACTCATACTTAAATTTACATACATACTTAAACTGCGTTTTTTTTTGTTTTTTTTAAACGGAAGTTTTGTGCAAAAAAGATTAAAACAAATTTCTGAACTCTGTGTTTCAAACATGCTCTACCCGCGAAATTGGTGAAAGGTTATGTTAAATGTCTAAATTAAAAAAGAAAGAAAGAAAGAAAGAAAATGTGCGCAAGGATATAATAATTTCTTCCGGAAGAACAACTGTTCGCCTGTTCATTTCGCTTTTAATACCGATACGATTTAGAAGTATTCGAGTCCCGCGAATCTTCCCAGGAGAAAGGGGAATTCTACATCTCTGCCTTGATTTCTTTCGTACAAACACCACAAAATCCGGTTTTTTTTTTTCTTTCTTTTTTTTGCTACACTAAAATTTGTAGCCGATCAACACCGTATATGTAGAAGCAAAATAAGCCCCGTAAAAATACCCTTGAATTCGAAGAAAAATAAACCCCGTAAACACGGAACCTTACTTATGACGAGACCAAGTAGCTGCGTTTGGTTATTAGAGCGCAAATTAAACCTTCGAACTAACCCAGGCGTTCAATTTATCTTACCTTAAGATCCCTTCCTGGAAAACAGCATTCCGGAAAGTATTTTATTTTATTTATTTATTAATTCTGCCAGCCCGTTTAAGGCCATAGCAGGAGGGAAGGATTGAAGTACAATTAGCATATTTTTTAAAGAAAGAGTGCAATAATGTTTGTGTACGCGTCCTCCTTTTGTAGACGCTTTGTAGCAGCTGTGCGTGGACGCTGCCGTAACCGACCTTCCGTTTTCGTTCACTCTTATTTCGGTCACTTCGCTGCATCATTACTGCAGCAGCACATGTTATTATAGTTTTAGATTCGGCTGTGTGCTTCTCAGCAGCATTGGGCCTTGTGGAGGCTCGTCAAAGTCCGCTTCATGCAGTGGCTTGGTATCTCGGTAAGATAAGAGAAGATCAGCCAAGGCGGCTGCAATCTGGTGCGTGTGCAAATCGTCTATACAGTACATTCAGCCTCACACCGTGATAAGTTTCTTTTGGTCAAGACTTGATCGATAAAGTACGGTTGATTTATAAAATTATTACGCACATTTTATAGATTGATACCTAAACAATGCACTATGCAGCAGGACGACTGTGCTACGTTAAAGACAACTCAGCACTAAAACAAATTATGTAGGGAATTCGCGATGGCAGAAATTCAGCCGATGGCAACGTCGTCATTGGGAAGCTGGTTTCGTAGATCTATGGCAGTGGTTCTCCACCATCGATGTTTTGCGGACTTTTTTGTGGATAGGCAAAGATGACGGAGGACCCCGTTCGCGGTGAGGGAAAGGGAAAGGTATAAATTAAGTATGATCATGACTTAATAAATGAATATAACTAAGGGCTAGTGTGTAGTAGACTTCTCTCGTTGACACACACACACACACAAACACGAGAAAACTCACCCGAAAATTGAAACGTTTCTTTTCAATCTGAAAAAAAAAAGAAGATAACTTTTATTGCCGAGCTTGACTGATGAGGCAGGGCTTCTCGGAATCCAAGAATGGCTTCATGGACCCTCATGTGAGAACCACTGATCTATGGTATGCGCAGAAAATGATCGTTTAAATATGTTTATTCGATCAGTAACCTGATTCACCCTTTTTGAACGATACAAGCGTTGAAAGCGGAAGGATTCTGGTTTTAGATATTCACACCTGTAAAGTTGTAGGAATTTATTATAAACAATCCCATGCGTTCAATTTAATAACAAAATAATAATAATATTAATAAACACCACCATCATCATCATGATCTTTATTTGAAGTGCCCAAAAACAACCACAGTGGTATTTTGCTCATTGGTGCACCTCCACAAGAACGCTGTAAGTAAGAAACCAACATGTGCATTACCACACTCAAAACACTAATACAAAAACAATACAGAACACGAAGGGGAAACTTAGTAAAATGCGAATTACTCACCAGGCGGCGGAACGCAGAGGCCGATACACAGATGTCGAGATCCGGAGTGGCAACACTGTTGAAAACAACCTCCCATCTATTGGACAAGAGTGAAAGAGATTATTTTTCTAGCGGATATTCATAAAATGTTTGTTTTGAGCTAGTCGGTTATTTGACATCGTGAGGTGCACTGTTCAAAAGGTCAAGCACAAGAAGAGAGCGGGCTCAGCGTTGAGTCCCATCCGTTTCTTGTTCTTCGTCCTTTTGCCCAGTTTGCGCTGTTTTCACCTCACTATACTAATAACTACTCACACATACTTCTAAATACTTGTCATAAATTTGGCATATTTCTTCCCCGAAAAAAACCACAACAGCAACAACAAACAAAACAAGTACTGAATTCCGAAAGGACACGCGTCACTTTCTCGATCCTGTTAAAGCTCAAGGCCAGCGCGAGAGACACCGTTTCTTTTTGGGGCGCCACCCGATCTTTGAGAAAGATAAATATATGCGCCGTTCATTCTCCAGAAACCTGCTCCTTATAACTCACGCAAAGATAAAAAAAAAGAAAAAAAAGAAAAAGAAACGAAAGCGAAATCCACGAGCGTTTG